AACAGGTTATTACAGAAAATTCGTTAAAGTTTATGCAAAAGTAGCACAACCTATAACAAAATATTTGAAAAAGGGAACAAAAATTAATACTAAAGATGCAACATATATTGAAGCCTTCGAAAAGCTAAAATCACTAATCAGTTCACATCCAATCTTGAAATATCTGAATTTTGATAAAAAAAAAATTCACATTAACCACTGATGCATCTAACTATGCAATTGGGGCTGTGCTTTCGCAAGAAGGACACCCCGTATGTTTTGTATCAAGGACATTGAATAATAATGAAAGAAATTAGTCAGCAACATATAAAGAATTTTTAGCTATTTTATGGAGTGTTAATTGTCTAAGACCATACCTATACGGAAGAAAATGTCATATATTAACAGATCATCAACCAATTGAATATTTACATACTAACTACAAAGGAAAGGATATATCTCCAAGACATCAAAGGTGGTTATTTGAGTTAGGAGAATATGATTTTGATATAGAATATATTACCGTAAATGCAATAGAAGACGATAATCAAACCTTAGCAACAATTCATTCACTGAAGAACTTAAAACAATACATGGAAAGAAAATAATTTTTATAGCTGAATCAGATGTTGACAATATGGGAGACATACTCAGGAAGTATATAACTAAAGGAAACGTAGGAATTTATTCAGAGCTATCAGACCATAAGGAAAAATTAATAGAAATGTTTTCAAATAATAGAAAACTAAAATTTACAAAGTGTACAATAATAGCACAAGATATAGAAACAGAAGTCGAAGCAGTGAAACAAATTTCCTTGTACCTTATCAGAGAGAGTATGCATTCGGGAATTCTTGAAACCTACAATAACATTAAAAACAAAATATATTATCCAAAACTATTAGAACTAATTCAACTCGTAATAAATCAATGCGAAATATGTGAAGAAATAAAATATGATAGAAATCCCATTAAAACTAAATTTTCTCCAACAGAAACTCCTTCTACTAGGAATGAAATTATCCATGTAGATACATATGTAATGAAAGATTTCACTTTTTGACAGTAATCGATAAATTTTCTAAATTTGCGGCATCTTATCCATTGAATGACAGAAATACTATAACTATTATAGAAAAATTAGAGGAACATTTCACTAGAATAGGTAAACCAAAGAAAATAGTAGCGGACAATGAATTCAATTCTATTAGACTAAAAGAATTTCTACAAAATGAAACATAGCTTTACATCTTACTAAACCCAATAGCCATACAGGAAATGCGGATGTAGAACGTATTCATAATACAATAGCAGAAAAACTTGGAATTTTATATAAACTAAATAAAGAAACACCAATAAAACAACTTATCCAGAAAGCAGTTAGGAATTATAATGAAAGATATCATTCAACTACAAAATATTCACCTAAAGAGATTCAACAGGATGAAATTGATGAGAATAAAGTAAAAAAGAATATAGATGAGAATAAAACAAAAACAATTGACAAAGAATATACTGAAGAGAAGAATATACCGAAAATAGAGAAGAAGGCTTTATCAAAAATTATAAGGCTCTTAGGCACAAAGAACAACCCAAATATAAGAAATCAAAATTAGATAACATTCACCCTTGTAACAGCAAACGACCATTAAAATTTGCAGGTTTGGATAATATTGATGGTAATGATCCTGATAACAACAGCGACTCAAGCAACAATGACGACGAGGAATCTGTTCAATCAGATCAGGATATATAAACGTAGCAATAAAACAGCAGGAAATTGTAAAGGAAATCGACATTATCATACATGTAATAAATTTAGAAGACATTGAAACATAACGAAAACATAATTCTATCAAAAATCAGAAATAAGGAAAAGTTACAATTAGAATTAATAGAAATTAAAAGTAAACTAATGACTCTAATTCCAAGACAAATAGAACGAGACGAGGACTAATAAATGGAGTAGGAAAATTAAAAAAGTGGTTATCTGGCACAATGGATGACGAAGACAGACAAACTATACAGAATAAATTATTCAATATTAATGATATAGAGAAAAAAATACCAACAAATTATTATAAATGACTTTTTTAACTTGACGTTGACCCATTTGAAAACAGTAACAAATAATGATCGTATACTTATAGAAACAGAATTAAATTCGATAAATAAATATTTAAATGAGGAAAATGAAAATACAGCTTTTCTAGAACAGTTAACCAATATTCAACTCATAAAAAATAAATTGGAACAAATTCAGGACAATATAATATCTGCTAAATATGGTTTAGTACATCCCAGCATTCTGACAACTGATGAAGTACGAAATTGACTAGCATAAAATTAAATACATACCGACAGGGACAGCATATTTTAATCTAATTTTCGGACTGAAAATACCTAAAGAATTTATTGAAATAGAATTAAGGACAATTGTACCATTAACGAATAATAAAAGCTATGAAATAGATTACAGTATTGAACAAATTTTTGACTATATATAATAAAACATATGCATTTGAAGAAAATAAATATTTAAAAAACAATTGTAAAATGACAACAAATTAAGATTTAGAAATTGTTCAATTAGAATTAGATACAATCGTTATTAAAAATTCAAAAAACTTATATATAAATAATACTTGCAATTCCAACGATACTATATTAAATAGGAACTTTAAAGATTATTATTTTTCAAATTTTAAAGAATATGAAAGAAAAATGGCTATAAAAGAATATAATACGATTAAAAGTTTTAGTCATCAAATATTATTTGAAAAAATTTTAGGAGAACACGAAAACAATGTGAAAAATATAAACAGATTAAACTATCACAACAAATTGTCATTTGGATATAATATTGTAATTTTATTGATTATTGTAACAATTATTTTGTTCATACTATTTAAACATAAAAGCATAAATCTTAAATTATACAATCGAATTCAGGAGAATTCTTGTTCAAATGGAGGGGTAGTTATATATAATGACCCCATAGATATTTTTTTTAAATAATTTTTTAAATAAGAAATAAACAAATAAACTACAACTTTTGTAAATTTGTTGCATAAGCATTTTTATAAGGTTAATCACTTTTGTTAATTATCTTTCAATATTAATTTTCCTAACATTGCATTTTTATCAGTATATTAACATTTATGGCATTACACCCAATCAAAATGCATTCTTATAATAATTTGCCAATTCTGCATTAAATGATAGTCTACTAAATTTAGGGCATAATTTTAATTATAATTTTTATAAATTGCTAATTTTGCAATAAATGATGGTTTACTACAAATTAAGGTTATTAGCCAATTAGAATAAACTAAATAATAAAAATGCTTATACAGCAGCTAAGCAGAATATTATAAATATCAATGTAAAATTCGATTTAAGGTAGTCAGTGTTCCCGCTCTATATGCAAATAAACGGTTTTTAAAAGTAAATTAAAAACAAATAAACTTTTTTTAACAAGTGAACTAAGTGAAATATAAAAGTCGCGCGATAACTCTCGAAGGGAGTATCCGAATTGGTCCAAACTCAATACATCGTAATATTATCATAATATAATATTATTTTGTGTATACTTGGCAAAACACAATATTTTTGTCAGTGCTAAGTTCGGTGTGAAAATGGATATTATCAACCCACTTTTTCAAGTAGCTCCCCCACAAAGGGTTAAAATTTGAAATAATTATAACTCTCATATACAATTTAAGATTCAATCTTGTGAAATAACCCCAAAATTCCATTCTTTTTTCGCGGTTTTTCCCCAAAATAAAAATGGTGCTATAAAAATGAAAAATAAACAAACCCAACTGTTGCATATTTAAAAGTCTATTTGACTCTATAAGGCTATAGCACAAAGTTGTATGTTTTTAATTTCTTTGAAGTTGAGCAACCTTTTTTATTGAGCCATGCTTGGTAAAGCCGTAATAAACAAAATAATTAAAAAAATTATGTGGAAATTTAAATTCATATTACAGCTTTTGGGAAATTGCAATTGCATTATGAACACGGCGTTCCATTCGTTGCGATTTTCTTTTATCTAAAACCATTTTCTTTTATCTAAAAAAATTGTTTGTTGCATTTGTTATTGGAAAATTTAAAGTTACAAGCATGGTACAATGATATCAAGGTAGGGCTATGATACCATATGATTTCAATTTTTTTATTTTCTTGGCTTAATATGTCATCTTTATTTGTTTTTGTATGTGTTTTCTTGTCAATAACAAAAAAATTGTTCAGAAAATATTCAAATTCGGGTGTTTTCAAAATGTTTATTTCATCGTATGCATCGACAAAATCTAGAGTTTTTGTAGCGAAATAATCCTTTAGAGATATATAGAACCTGGTTTTGAAAACAAGTGTTGACCTTTCATTCAGTTTTCGCGGTTTTCAATTATTTATTCAAAATAAATGCAACAAGTTGTTTGATTTTGTTATTGTTTTGATACCATATAACCAGGTTCTATATATCTCTAAAGGATTATTTCGCTACAAAAACTCTAGATTTTGTCGATTCATACGTTGAAATAAACATTTTGAAAGCATCCGAATTTGAATGTTTTCTGAACAATTTATTTGTTATTGAAAAGAAAACACATACATAAACAAATAAAGATGACATATTAAGCCAAGAAAATAAAAAAATTGAAATCATATGGTATCATAGCCCTACCTTGATATCATTGTACCATGGTTACAAGACTCTAGCTTTAGGGATGTGTTTTTCAAATTTAATAACTCTGCCATTCATACCTTGTAATTATTATACCATGAATTTAACTACCAAGTCTAGGGTACTTACAGATATAACGTCGAAACTTTGGCTTGTGGGTGTACTTCTATTTTACTCATTTTATTAGAAACGTACAGAATCCTTTCAAACTTGTCATTCGTCGAACAATTTACGTCACTGCTAATGCTAACAGTTGACCATTACGCGTGAAGTCGTTTTTACATCACTTTCTAAAGTAGACCCTCGGCTCATTTAATGAATGTTTTCAACACATTGTATTTTACTTATGTCTCATTCGTAAACAACAGAGTACTCCGAGTCTTTGCTTTCTGTTTATTTTTTATCGGGTATTCCTTTGTGGCCTTCACATTCGTTTCGTTGCGACGTTCTTCATTTTTGTTTCCAACGCTCGCAACGAACAACCAACCAAACGAAAGCGCGCGCTTGAAGCAACTGATGAACACCCTCCAATAAGACCAAAAGGAGGATAAAACCAATAAAACAATCAAGGAATTGAATAAGAATTGGATTGGACAAATTTGTTGGACAGGATTATTATTTAAAAAACATAAAAACAGGTAAGTATGTAATTCTAATTGCTTTGCTATGCATACACCTTGGACAACCAAGGATAAAGTGGCGTCATTTGTAAGATGGTGGAGATCGGACCATTCCTTCAGGCCCCTCCCGGATCCTGATGCTAATGCAAGATCTGCTATATGGGGGCTATACGAAGGCGTGGACCTGCAAAGACAATTTTCTGTCATAGCCTGTAGTATCCATTACGAAACTCAAATACCAAATTTGAAACAATGTCGCTAATATCAACAAAATACCGAACATCGTGAGGAACCGTTATATGGTGGCTATATGAAAACGTGGACCTACATGGCCCATTTACGAACTTAACCTGCCTACTGGCAAAAAATTTAATAAAGAAGTTGCAAATTGCGTAGTTGTCAAGCATAAAAACGTTGCAAACAGGTGTGAGATACCGTAACATGAACACTGGCCATAAATTGACTAAACATTGATGCAGAGGTTTGTGTTTTTTATAAATTTGTGTGAGCAGTGCTTCAAGAGAACACAACCCCCTTATATTCAAAGAGCAAACAATTATATGAAATCGTTGAATGTTGCCCCTAATCTATGAAATTGGCGCGTTTTTGTGTGCTTTTAATCGTTCCAATTGCAGATGGTAACATCGTGTTCAAAACAGATATAGAAAGAAGAGATGAAAAAATTTGTTTATTTCACTATCATTGCAATATCTGCGGAATTTTGAAGATGGCACATGGCACAACAGTAGCAAGTGTTCCTGATCAAATTGTTTTAAAGAAAGAACATAGCACAAATATCGCCAACAGTAGTAGTAGCCCTTTACGAAGCTAGTAGCCACTTGCTGGATACCAAACCCCTCTTGGTAGGAGAGCCGATGCAAATTCACCAACCCATACAAAGAGTTTTCACAGACCACAGAAGACTGGAAAAGCTGGGGCTAGTGGAAATTTCAATAAGACCAACTGAGTCATAACTCTCGTGAAAAGCTGGAAGCAAAGTAAAATGACTATCAAAGAGGAGGTCTGATGCAGCCGCTGGTTCGTCTGCGCCACCTGGAAATGTCCACGATAAATTAAATTTCAAGGCCAGTGATGAACATAATCTCAACACCTGATTTGAATTTTTGAATTTTTATTTTGTTTTTACTGGTAATTCACTTGCTCTTAAATTTTGAAATATGAGAAAAAGTACTTTTTGTGAAGAAGACATGAACAAACTTTGTTTTTGTGTTGCATTCATTTAGGGCGAAATCAGCATTACAACAACTTGTTTTGACATTTAAAGGTGCCGTCAGCTGGGGTGATGCGACTACCTAGTAGATCTACCTTGGCTTTGTCCAAGTAAATGTCGCTGGTCCCAAATCTGCCGTACAAAGTGCAGTCCGATGGTTTAGATCTTAAGAAGACTACAATATGACCAAAAAGATTTTAATGGTTTGTATGGGTAAAAAAAAAACTTTGCATATTTAAATTGCAAACATTTATTTTAGTTATTGGATTTTGCTTGCAGGAAATATCTGCCGTTCGCCTATCGCAGAGGCCATAATGAGGAAAGCTCTACATAGGCAAGGAGTAGACAAAGAATGGCTAGTTGATAGTGCAGCCCTAGTAGGGTATCATTCCGGTTCTCTACCGGAAGAAAGGGCGCTAAGTGTTCTACAGAACCATGGTATTCAGTATGACAAAGAAGCCCGGGTAATTAATTCAAACGATTTTGTGGAGTGCGATTACATCTTTGGTATGGACAACGATAATGTGGCTGAACTGAAGAAAATTGCTCCACCCGATTGCAAAGCAAGAATCATGCTATTGGGAGATTTTGGTCTTGCAGAATCGGAAAAAAATATATATGATCCATATTATGTACGTGCTTTGGAGTTAACAACAATATTTTGATTTTGTAAACTTTTATTTTTTTCATTTTTTAGTTTCTAGGTGAGGCACCTTTCGAAGAGGTCTATGATAAATGTCTTATAGCCTGCAAAGCATTTATAAACAATGTAGTTTTAAATAAACATTGTTCATGATAAATTAATGCGTTTTGAAATCATTTAATTTTTATTTGCAATACATTGCAATTCAATATGGTGTATGTAGAAGCATACAACTATCCAATTGTTTATTCTTGGGAAATGTGTGAAAATGCTTATATAAAAAATTCTTTTTGTAAAAAAGCGGATTTTCTGTTTCGTAACTTCTTATTGAATGAATTTTATTTATTTACTTATCACTTTTTTTCCATTAATACAGTCTAGCCTATAGGGCCATAGGCGATTCCAAAAACTTCTATACATGACTACTCTGAAAATTGAGACAGAAGTTATTTGATACAATATTATTTATTCGACAAACAATTATTCTCAAATTACATACTTGAATTCGAACAAATCAAAGACGCATTGTTAAAATTAAAAAAATAACATTTGCTCCAGACATGTAAGAAAAAATCGGGAAATCTGTTATCGTAGTAAAAAATTTGTACATCCTTGCAGACATGAGTTTAGCTTGTATGGTGAGAAACGTCGACCAAGTTGTCGAATTTTTGATAACGCTGTAAGTTGACGAGGTTTATATACAATATTATTGAATGATGAAAAGTGTTAAATGACTTCACTGCAGTCGCTGATTCATTTTATTTAAAATTAAATTTTCCTTTTCATTTGGTGGCTGTCTTGAAAAAGACATGGAGGATTAAGAAAATATTGTCTCCAATTAATTTTGACAAGAAACATTCAAAATTTGATCGAACTTCAACAATTGGTTATCTTCCTCCAACCATTTGGTACGTTCCTTCTGAAGGCCTACTATGAAATTATTACTATTTTATTTTATTTACACATTCACATTTTCCGAATCGAATTATAAATGATATATTCCGAAATAAAGCTGAAACACAAAAAGTATAGAATATTTTGACTGGTAACGATCGAGGAAGATTTAACCATTTTCTAAAAGGACGACTCGCTGTTGTGGTTAAAATTTTCAAACAAAACAATCCTCGTATTGTAATCAATCCGAATACACTATAAGAGTAAACTGCAAAGATTCTAAGATGTGGAAGTGGGGGAACTAGCCACCTCTATTTAGTTTACTTTGCGATTATAACGCCAATACACTTATCTTTTGCCTTTAGGTCTCTTTTTTCGTATTGCAGTGTCATTGCAGTTCTTCGTCTTCTTGGGATTTTTGTTGAAAGAAGACATTTTATAGTTTCTCTGGCCAATACAGATTTATATCCTATAAATAACGTTTCGCATACATTCAACCAAATTTAGTTGGTCTTTTAGAAATAGAAGATTTAGTTATATATCTGTAGAATCCCGATTGCAGCAAAAAAAGAATAAAACTACCTCTATTTATTTGAATAAAAAATTTAACAACTTTATTACATGTTACTTGGTTTGTTCTCTCTTTCTCTTACAATCTAAAGTATATATTTATATATGTATGTTTTATTTATGTATTTAATCATATATAATTGTAAAATTACACATTCTATAATATAAAAAAATCACCAGCAACTTGTGTCCATTCATTTCCACATTTTTTGCAAAACATTGCCCAAGGTTCCATAATCACTTGTCCTTGCCAATTCTAATAGTTAAATCCTTCAACAATTCTCATCTTTCCATTTCTTTTTCGCTTCAATCTTCGACTCAGGTACCAGTGAACTTTTCACACCGCCCAATATATTGGTTGTTGCCTGGGTGGCTAAGACGGCCGGGCACACTACCAGTTGCGGAACTTGACGCATAACAGCTCCAACAGCACCGGTTAAACCTTTTTGGTCATGTTCAGCAACGGCCGTCTCTATGAGATTATTGGCCGAATCGTTGATGCCATCTTTGACAATTTGATAGGCATTCACAACTCCTTCACGTATATCTTTGGGTCTATGTGGACGCCGTTTATTGCCACGTCTAGATCGTTTCAATTGCCTTACCGATGGACCGGGCGACACCATATCGAAGGCTGTCTCTGCAGTGAACTGCAGCAGTTGTATGAGCCGCGATGTAATTTCCAAAGCAGCCAATATGGTGCGAGCACTGAAACTTTGTGCACCCAGCTGGAGGCCACGTATGATTCGGCCATCTTTTTGGTAGTGTTCAATGGGCAGCCAGAAAAGATCATAGATACCCTGAAATAGTTGCACAAAGGCATAAGTGGGTCCGACACCACTTAATATCTTGGGTAATTGGTTGCGTTTGATATCCCTTAGCCATTCCTTGCAGAGGTAATTGAATACTTTTTCAAAACCCAGCAAACCACGACGATACACTATCTTACGTAGAATTATTTTGGAACATTGCAACTGACCCAGCCCCATGAGTAGACCAGCCACTGGGCCCTTGGACAATTCCACACGCCTGCCATGATAATCGAAACATATGGAAATGTCAGGACTGAAAATTATTTCACGGAAATAGGTCGGTGAAGAATCTGTAGGCGGAGAATGTTTTGCGGATTTCTTTGGACTTGTATTGCTTTCCGATTGGGTGTCATCGATAAGTATGGCTAAATTTTCATTTACAATTCGCCTGGCTCGTAGGTCTTGTACAGCTTCCGGCAAATCAAGCTCACTACACAGAGTGGCTGTGGGTGGGGGCGCTGGCGTTTTTGACTTTTCCCCTTCGGGTTTGTCATTGTCACAATTTTTACCAAAACTGGTAAAGAAATCCGTTATAAATTCCAGGGTGTCTTGATCTATGTGCAAACGCAGTGGTGAAAGGGATATCTTTAGAGAGCATTCTTGTGCTGGACTTTGTTCAGGATTCGGTCGGACATGCAAACACTTAACAACCACCATATGCTTCATGCGCCGATTAGAGAAATTGCTGCTATTGGCATTGTAGAGAAATTTATTGATCTCCGAAGTTTGTAGGCGATCCCTTATCTCCAGTTCATTTACCAGGAATACCTGTCGCGAAGCATATGCCGCTTGCAGGGGATACAGTTCGTAAGAGAAACCCACTTTGCTGAGTTGGATTTCAACAAGTACTTCGTGGTTACGATTTTCACCACCCTTAGATTTCCAGGTTAATTTCTCTTTGGGTTTTTTGGTCGACTGCGGCCGGCATTGATTGCTGGCATTTGAAACACCATGACGATAGGCCTCAGACATGGGAGCTGTCTCAGCCGGCGCTGTGGATGTGTTTGCTATGCCACCGAGAGTTTGTGCAAAGTCATGTCCTCCATATAGATGCCAGGTTACCGTCATTTCACATAATGTGTAACGAAGATCAGCCTGCGGAAATGTGGGAGGAGCTTTTAAAATATCATTATGCGAGGATGGCAAGCCAAAATGATTGTCGACAATGCGCAAAGGATCTTCGGACACTTTAATATCTTCGAAATCCAATTCCACGCGTTCTTCGCCCACAATAAAGCAATAGTCTTCCTCGGAAGAACATTGACTTTGTAATTCTTTTGCCGAACTTTTTTCAGATACAACACCAAAATCACCTTTGATTAGCGGCAAAGGTTCGCCTAATGCACCGCTTGAAGATGTACATGGCATATCAAATTCGTGTTTTACACATTGAGTTACGGACACATCTTTCGAGGCCTCATCAGGGAAATAGAATAATTTCAATTCATCTTCTTTCGGGTGAATTGTTGTGGTGGATGATGTTGACATTTCACTGGCCTGTAAAACATCTTCACCATCCTTTACGGCCTCCGCCATTAGTTGATTAACACGTTCTTGATGGCGATCGCAGAGATCTGCAGATGTTTGTGATTCTGCCAAAAGTAAGTCTGATTCTGAACACAATGAAGACTGTAAGGATTCCTTGTCACTGGCCTCTTCATCTTTGGCTATATTATTGGCTATATAGCCAATTAATTGGGCAAATGCACTGCCCGAGTCGTAACAGGTCCGCAAGTGGACATCTTGCAGGGAACATCTGAGATCTAATCTAGGATATTTCTCCGTTGTTTCACCACTGATGCGCAGTGATATCTCCAACAGACCAAAATCCAAAACGGGTACCATATTGCTAGCATCAATAAAGGTTACACGATTGCAGGGAAGCACCTTCGTGGTATCGTGGGGAGCAATGGAGAAGACACATTCTTCCAATACGAATCGCAAGTTACAACCCGTCATGGTGGATATAATATTGCTGCTCACCGAGAAATAGAATAGCTCTAGCACCGCACGATAGGCAAAGTTGTCGGGACGAAAATCAATGGCACAATCCCACAAATGTAACTGCATTTCGGATACTACACTGAACGGTTCATACCCTTCAATGGGATAATCTAGGACATCGAGGAAATCCAAAAGTTGATTGAGCCAAAAGTAGGAGGGCGGCATGAGTATATAACGCAATGTGGTATTTTTAACGCCAGCAGTGATTTTCAGACGTTTTATGTGTTGTGGCAGATTTTTCTTAATTTCTATAGCCACAGTGACCATTTCACTGCGTTCGCCTTGCTTCTGGCCAATAATGCCTTTGGTTAGTCCCAAGGGTATTTTATAAATTGTGGCTTTCATAAAGTCTTCAATGTGAGCTTTACTATCACAACGTAAAGGAGAGTTCATGGGCGCCACACCGCCATGGTACATTTCAAGTTCATTGACCTGAAGACATAAATATGCCAAACAGGGATCATCGCAGTAGCCAGTCAAACTGAATATTTTCAAATCGTCGATGTAAAGTAGAAATTTACCCAAAACTTCGGGCAATATATGATTCTCAGAATCACGGACGGGTACAAAGATGGCGGCTGTGGCTTTGCCTACTTTTATTTCCACTGAACATCTGTGGCCATGACGGGTGTTCAAATCTTTTGTGGAACTTAAAAGAGATTTAAAGTTATTTGTCTGTTTGCGTCGTCGGCGATTTGTTAATCCACCGTCGTCTTCATCATTGGTTTCCTCATCGTCACCATCGTCCTCGTCATCATCATCGTCGGCGTAATTTATTGGCTGTTGTGTTTTCTTTTGTTGCTGTTCATATGGTTCGGCAAAAGGATCATTATCCGGTTGCTGGACTGCTGAAATATAAACAGAATCCATTAGCCCT